ACAATAAAAATTGGGCACTGTTTACTGTACTGTATACACACAACCTAAACTGTTTTTTGTTTAAATCGTTACACGGTATATTTATTATTCAAATGATGCTTTATGTAAAACTGTACATTATTAGATATGGGTAGCATGGTGGTGCAGAGGATAGCATTGCTAGCTTTAACTCTGGGGCCCAGGGTTCAATTCCTTGGATGCTATCTGAATGGAGTTTGTATGTTCGACCCATGTTCGCATCGGTGTCGTCCAGGTGCTCTGGTTTCCTTTCACAAAGACATACAGAAAATCTGGCCCTGGTGTTTGTGTGTACCCCGTGATGGACTGGTGTCCTGTCCAGGGTGTACCCTGCCCTGCACCCTTTGCTTGTCAGGAAAGGTTCCGACTTCCCTGTGACCCTGAATTAGAAGAGGTGTTTAGAAAATGGATGGATTCTTAGATATGAATAGTTGTGGTATATGCTGTCAAAAATATTTAATTAAAGAAATATTGTTCTTCAAAACAGAGGAGGAATACTTACATGGTATCAGCTGTAAAGTGCAATAGTCACTTCAGGACTTCAGGATGAATTGCATAATTTACTCTAATGACATCATAAAATATACATTGTAATGAAACTTCTATATCCCAAATATTAAAAATGTATTTGTTGTAAAGAGTAATAACATCTAATGATGCTGCAAATTAAGGAACATTGACAGAAAATATGTGCACATTCATAGTCTCATTAAAGATATTCAGTCATTTTAAATGAATGAATAATGGTACTGAATCAAACAACTGTTTTTCTTTTCTATTGGCATAAAGTGTTTTTATCTTCCTCCCATTCTCTGTATTCTGGAAGATAAACCGCTAAGCATGTAAGGGGAAAAATCTGTCCAAGGAAAGATCTATTACATGACAGTGATGTTGTTAAACGTTTTAGAATTTAATAAAGGTTTTTTTCGCACATATCTACAGTATGGGTTGCTACTCTTTTGTGATTAAAATTGGCCATCTGTGCTGCTAATCATATTATGTTTTTAGAACTTAGTTTATATGTGCTATAAATTAATTTTGGCTGACATTACTTCACCTGATGAAAGAATGACATCCCCATAATCAAAGATCAACACATTGATGATGAGTCAGCAAAAGCCAGAATCTTTGTTTGTGAGGTGAAAAGGGTGATGTGTTTAAATATACATAAATCAATCCATTATCTACACTTTATCCTTGAGCCTACAAAACATGTTGTCCAGGTTCAAATGCCACATGAGTGTGAGTATCCAAACTGCTGAGGTGTACTGATACAGTATTTGCAGCCATCAATTTAATGGTTATGCATGTATGAGGTTAATCTGACAGGTGAAAATCTTAATGGATAGATATACATAATACTTTCTTCACCCTTACTTATTATATTTTGATATACAGGTACTCATTTTAAATAGGAAATCCGGAACCGTTTGATAGTGCCTTGATGATTAAAATAGCCAGATAGTACATATGGACAGAAATATGGCATGCATTTCACAAACTTTAGAAACTGCATTTGGCATATTTGAATTATAAGTAAAGGAAAATGGAAAAGGTTAATGCAACACTTTTATTCAGATGCCAAACTGGCATAGTGTTGATATGATTCCTTATATTTTTCCTACCCATAAAAACCTTTTTTATATTAATGAATTCCTGTTGAAAATAACAGGCTTCTGAGCCATGATACCTATCAGCATCTATGACTGAAGGGCTGTTCACAAACTGCACCAGATAACTGTGGTACACAGAAAAGCTTCCCAGTCCTCGATAATTTCAATATATATGGATAAAAGAGTATGCATTTTTATACTCTTATTATATTAAGTAGTGTCAGGCACATAACAATTACATGTTAAACTGGTGTTTGATTTCCCATATTTTTCTAAGAATAACATTTTGCTCCTAATGTGCTGGAAGGATATCATGCATTCATTCATAAATTTACATAAGACTGTATGACTTGTGCATTTCTGCAATTAGCTCAATCCCCTTTAAGAAATGTGAAACATTTGTGCAGAGATTAATTGTGAGTAATGTCATACTGAAAGTGGCAGTATTCATTATTTGTTCAAATTACACATACAGATGTTAACAGGTGTGTAATAACCAACACATAATTTGTTGTTGGTTTTCAAAGAACAACCTGAGAAACTAAATTATATTGGATTTCAAAATGCTTCACTCTCTGAATAATCCATGAGAAGGATGTCCTTTTTTAGGCTTGATTTTATTTGATATTTTATTCTACATACTGTATTTGATGGTTCAAAGCTGCTTATTCAGTGTATGTTTCAATGATGACTTTCAGTCATCAAATAATCAGTTTAGTTAGACACTGGTCTGCTTCCAACTAATTAGAATAATCAAGGATCTACTATTATTTACAAGCTGTTAAAAGAGGCATAGTACTTGTTTAAAACTCACTGGAACTCACTGAAATTCTTAATCTGCCTTGGGATTGTACTGTACTGTACAGTATGTCCATGCATCTGTGCTTCTGCATTACAACTTCATTTTATTGCCATAGTCTAGAATGGACAATGGCATGTGAGAATAAAAGGTGAAAAGTGTAAGTAAACCATAAAATGTACATTTTAATGTAATCTGTCTATTGACTAAAAACATTAGAAAAAAAAAACATTAGAAAGCAGAGAAACCAAAGGAGATCATTAGACCCATTCAGCCTTTTTAGTAGTTTGTATCTAATAGGATCTCATCTAGCTGTTTTTGAAAACAAGTCAGGGTTTGGGCTTTAACAACATGGCGGTTTATCTCTTACCATACTCATACAACCCTTTGTCTAAAGAGGTGTCTCAAGTTCTTGGTTCTAAATTGGAATCACACAGGTGACAGACAGCACTAGTGAAAAATCTGCATATGTGAAGGTACATACAGTACCTTCTAATTTAAAGAATGTTTCAATTAATTAATCTGATTTTATACAAAATAATGAATGCAGTTTGTATCAAGAAATAATGTACTGTAGCTGCACCATTCCATACCATATTAAAATGTCTAATTTTATTATTTTATGCTAATGTACAGTACCATATCCAACACTATTGTGAAATCGCTAAAAATGAAAAAAAAAAAAGTTTTTCTTTAATTGGAGATTTATTTCTACTTTGCTCCTTATCCCCTGTGTTTACTTCTACTACTGTATGTTTCTACACACGATATTTTGTGCAGCATAAGTTATCAGTCTTATAACACTCTGTTAAGCCTTGACAATACTCAAGTTATAACAGATGCACGAGCCGTAATTATTGAACACGGTGGTGGGCTTTAGGGGAAAATAGAGCTCTTTCTATAACAGATGTGTCAATAAAAAAATAAATAAATAAGTTTTACATAAAACTGTAAATTTTCTTTAGTTAATCTGCTGCTCTGTGGCTACAGAATGGCTGTTCACATCTGGACACTGTCAACAAATGTTCCTCTCCAGAGCTGTTGAGCTTTCATGATTCCAGTAGGTCTAAAAAAATGGAGATAGGTGGGGGGGCAATGGGAAAATGTATCCATCCATTTTCTGACTACTTCCTCCAATTCAGGGTCGCAGGGAAGCCAGAGCTTATCCTGACATACAATGGGCAATAGGTAGGTCACACCCTGGATAGGACGCCAGACAGACACAAACAAGGCCAATATTCTCAGAGGCCAAATAACCTATACTGTAAGTATATCTTTGGACTGTGGGAGGAGACCGAAGTACCTGGAGGAAACCCATGCAAACATGGGGAGAAAATATGAACTTCTTGCAGACAGCACCCCAGGTCCTGAATTCAAACCCAGGACCCTGCATTGTAAGGGAGAAATCCTAACCGCTGTATCACCCTGCTGCCCTAAAGAAAATATCAGCTCTACAGCATGTAACATGATTATAAAGTGCATTTTCTGTATGTCAGAAATAGTGATTACAACTTAAAATGTTTTTTTTAGAGTTCTATTCACAATCATTGTTTTGTGGATTGTGTATTCTTGTTAAATACAGTATAAAAGGGGGAAAAATCAGTTCATTAAATCAAACCAAATAATTTTAGGTCAGTTGCCTTCTGCCACCTGTCTTCAGTGAGTGTAATTGTCATGTGCCCCTGATTGTGATCAGTTAACATAAAAAAAATAGATTTTTACTTAGTAAAAATACTTTTGGACAATGCCCATTCAATGCAAAAAGATGAGAGTGATGATTATTGAATCTTTTACCATATACCATTTTTTTTGTGTTGCAATATTTCTTAATAAAGTATTGAACATGTTTTTAGAAACACATTTTGCATAATACAAGCATCTTATGGACTGATGTCTATTATAAGTAAATGTTTTCAACATATTAGAAAAAATATTTAAGATTGCTTTTTTCATTTACTGTATGTCACACATAATTGTATGAATATGTATTTTTACAATAAATAAAATAGGCTAGAGATTTGATTTGGAAATATGTGTACTTGAGGTCATTATTGAGGTGGAAAGCCAAATATACATTTAATCCTAGGATGACTGCAAACTGCACACACTGTTTTTAATAAAAAGGCATGATAATACATCTGTGTGTTTTAGCCAGTCTAAAATCAGTAAAAAAAAAGGGAAGTAAAGTGTAATTTAAAAGGTAGATTATTCTCTGCTTTCGCAAAAAAAGTTACCAAAACATACAGTACTAACTGTCCAATACATTGTTGGGCAGACGACTACTGTATCTTTTCATTATTAGCTCAAATTCCCATTTTCTGATTAGGTACTGTATACCACATCATTAAAAACAGCCAAGAAAAGCTAAATCATATACTTTCTCTTTGATCGTGGTCCGTTAAGACGTTTGCTGGGTAATGTTCATGAATATAGAAGCGTATCCAAACGTACTAGACTGAACTTGTTTACATAAAAAAAACTTATCTACTCGACCGCTCAGTCAGCCAAAGCCCTCCCACCTTTTAGTAATACGCCCTCCACACAAAACACTAGTACAAACGTTCAGTAAAGTTTGTAGCAGAATGCCTCACTCTGGGATCTACCATTACAATCACAGCATAGATTTAACCAAAATACTGTAGTACCCGAAACGGGATTACTTCTTTTACTTTAATACAGCTGATGTTTGTTTTGGCACCACAAATAATCGGTTCGGTGCTGTCAGTGATTTTTTTTATTATTATTTCTTAAACAAATCTCCAAAACATACCTCAGAAAAATAATTTCGATATTGCAAACACGGAAATCCCGGAACTAAATGGATTAGTCTTCTTTTTTAGATGTTGCCTGCTACTCTGTACTTGATGAAGCAATAAGGACTTTAAACAGTTCAGTGAGACTGTTGAATTGCGTTTTCTGTTCTTCGTTTATTTCGTTAAAAGCTCAATTTCCTTGAAAAAAAAAACCCGAAGCATGGCTAGAATGCTGAGCAGGGACCTCCGGGACATTGAGGTACAAAACATCTTACTGGGGCTCTGAGACTCATCTCTAACTCTTCTATTGCTGTCACCTTTACTTCTGTCACTGTTTCCTTAATAATCAAAATATTATTATTATTATTATTATTATTATTATTATTATTATTATTATTATTGCAAGACTGTAGCTGTTGACATTGGTGGGTAACGTTACAGACTTTCTCACATTTGTTTCGGACAGCTAATGACAACCTCGGCACGATAGTGCTGTATCTGACAAAATTATGATAACTTTGTATTCCATGTTTTACTTACTGTACGTACAGTAAGCCAGAGATAGGGAGCTAAATAGAAAAGCCAGCAGAAACGTACAGTCAAACGCTGACTGCTGTTAATGTCCAGTGCTGAGCCGTGTGTGTTTAGTCATAAAATGTGCACAGTGTCGTTTTCATGTAGTTGCAAGAAAATATTTGTATCAGATATAAATTAAATGAAAAAGGTTTGAAAAGCGGATTAAATTGCTTGATGTCAAGATGCAGTTTTAGTTTAAATACACAGGGAACGATGCACCCCTACTCTATGTGATCGTTCATGTTTTAAGGCTTAGTTCACACTAAATTGCTGAAAATCACGATCCAGGTTACAGTTGTTGTGAACAACACATTTGTACATGACTGCTTAGATTGCACTGCACATGTCTCTTTTCCCATAGTGTATTTACAAATTGTGCAAGGAAGCTGCTAGCAATGACCGTTCACGCTGTTCATCAAAACTATGTTGTTTCATTACTCATTTCGTCATCAGCAAACTTTTAAGGGTAGGTTTAGTGGCTTTTCTTCAAAGCCTGTCCCATGGGGATTTCGGAGTAACCGAAATCACATATCGGAATCATCTGTTTTTTCTTGTTTCTTACAACAAAACTAGAAATTATTTTACAAAAAATAGATTTACAAAAAACCGAATTACTTACAAAAATTACAAGGATTAACTATACATACTCAAATTAAATAAGATCTTACTCTGTGAGTTTACTTTTTACATATACAATGTTGTTTTCGAATTTTTGTTTGAAATGTTTCCAGCTTCTTACTTGATGCACTTTGAATAAGATACTGTATAAATAGCACGACAGTGGGCTAAGGTCCACTGACCACACATACAGTATATTTCTTCAAGTCGCATACTGTATACAGTATGCTAGAACAGAGAGTTTTAGGAGTTCATAAACATAAATTTTAGGCTTCAAAAAAAGATTATGTGTTCAAGTAAGCAAGTACATAGACCTATGAAAATAATTAGTAGAGACGTGTTAACAGTGTTCTACTATTTAAATTATCAAGAATAATAAATTAGGAACAAAAGCTAGTGCATTTCTTCACTATGTGTCAATGCAAAGCTTTTTTGTCGAGAGTTATACAGAAATGTATCCCCTATAATGTCAAATGCCACAAAATATGTTTGAAATATCTTGAATTTTATTAAATGAAATAATTTAAAAGGTTTATATTGATTGGCAAGTTAATTGGTAATCTATTGTGTCTTATATGCAGGTCTGGTATAAGTATTGTTCTTCTTTTTGTATTAATATAGTTGGCAATAAATAATGCATTTAATTACAGTAATTTCAGCCAATAGTCTGAGGCAGCAACTTTACAAAACATTGCCTGAAACCTGGCATACTTAGGATGTAATATACTTCTGCTTCCACTACAATATAAATGTATATCAATGGCAAACATTATCAGTATCTACCATCTGTCATGCAGAAGGTGCTAAAAGAAAGTAACTAAATCTGTCTATTCAAGAACATCTACATACATTTTATTTTCATTAACACATAGGCAGGCCTGCTGTACTTGCAGGAACGTGTACTGTCTGTAGTGAGAAGCGCATTGAACAATATTTGGTTGTGTGATATTATACCACCAGAAGAAAGTCTATGATCTTTATTCACCTCTGTGTAAGGACCTGCTATTTTTTTGCTTTCAGTGTTATTTTCTAAAAACAATGAATTTGGTTTATAGCAGTTGCATAAAACTTTTTTTGTGTGTGTGGATTAGGTTAGGAGGAAGCTTGGTGGTCAATAGCGATTGACTTTGGAGAAGAAGTTGTTTCCTTGTTATATCCAAAGTTGATTATGAAAGCTTTAAGAATACTACCATACTTTTTACTATACTTTCAGTGCTATGTAGGACAGAACTGGTAATAGATATCACTTTATTTATTATGCCATTTTTGGTTTTAGTTAACCTCTTACTATGTTTTGTGTGTTTAATTCAAAGATTGGTACCCGATTGTTGTTTTCTTGTTTCTTATGAAATTAAAAAAAAGTTTTCATGACCTTCCAAAGACCTTAAATCATTCCCCTTTTCGTTAAGAAGCACAAAGGCTAACCACAGATTCCCTGTTTCCGAGGAATCTTGTTCTGAAAGATGAGAAACCCATGATCATTGACAAGAGGACATTTTAAGTCTACTTTTTCAGGATGTTGCGGTTTGGTTTTCAAACTGCAAAGCGCAGTTGACTAATGATAAACCCTTGTGTGAAATGTTATTGTAGGGAAGGCAGGGGCAAGTGGAATAAGTTCTGGAACAACAGCAGTATTATCATTGTGGCAAGCAGTAATCAGTGATGACATGGTAGAGATAATATGAGGCTTTGAATCAGTTGATGAAGGACAGAGGTTTCTGAGTTTGACACTTGAGCACTACTTACTTGGACCAAACTGAACTGCAGTACGCTCATATTTTTTGTAGTTTTGTAGAGCAGAGCCATGTGTCCACAATAGCATCAAATTCAATACATTAATGCTGCTATAATCCATAATCATGATGTGACTGTACTTTCAATTTTTGCAATCTTGGCTCACTTGTTCAATCATAGTTCTAATCTAAATTGTACCAAAACTGGGCTCTTTGAGGTTAATTGCTGGCATTTAAGCTATTAATTTTACTACTTCTTCTATTGCATTAGTATGTTGTCATGCCAGATAACTACAATCTCACTGGCAGAGTACACTCTTATCAGGCCACCTTTGACCATCTATGCACTTCATTGTAAGTGGAAAAAAGTAGAAATTGAGTTTTTATGCTCAGTGTGTCTTTGAAGTATTATAGCAAGGAGGCACTAATTAAGGCAGAATCTGTTCAGCAGAGCAAGTTTCTAGAATTATGAGTTATATGATGAATATTTGCTTATTGTGTTTATCGTATCAAGCAATATATTTGCTCCTGCTACCAGCTGCTTTCACGTATGTGTTTGTGCACAATCAGAGGTGCACTGGATTGGCTGTCTTATACAGTATATATACTGTACTGTATTAATTTTTCAATGTGTCATTGGGCTATAACCACATTTTTCTTGCATCTGGAATGGTGAAAAGAAGACTGTATACATTTTTCTCCCCCACATTCCATTTTTATGTTGTGATTACCACACATACTGTAGCAGAGTTACCTATAATTGGAACAGCAAAGGGAAATCAAAGCTGTCCAGAAATTCTGTTGGTTACTACACAATACACCAAGAATACCTTGACCAACCCAAGTGTTCCTAGTCCCAGTTGTACTTTATACCATTTCTTGGAGAATTCAATTTTCAGTTGATTAATGACCTACTGTAGCCAATTTTCATAATATGTTATCTTGACAACAGGGCTCAGACTGTTCTTTTAACCCTGTGGTTGAACTGTTTGTTGGTTGAACCACTGTTTGAACCACCTTTGATACCCCTTACCCAATCAAGATGAATCTTTTGTGGTTCCTTGTTGTATTTCACATTTTGATAATGCCATCAGATAATTTTTGCCTTCAGCCAATATGTCTGTCCCTGTATCTAGCTGACTGTTCTTGGTAACTTCAAGATAAAGAGTGAGAGCATTGAAGAGTTCACAGGACCATACTGTTACCTCTGACCTCAAACAGTACATGGCCTCTTTTGTTTGAACAAATACAAGTCAGATTACTTCTTTGCTTTATTCTTATGATCAGCTGTGACAAAGGGAAACTTTAGGATGCAATGTAACACAACACCAAACACACAGTAGAGGACACAGATACAGAAGGCTTTTATTTACAACACGTTCTGTCGTACCTGTAATCCATGGAATTTAATGTTAATGTTTACATTCATCCACTTTTTCCAATTCAGAGTCGGAGGGAATCTGGAGCCTATCCTGGTAAGGAGTGGGTGAAAGACAGGGTAGACCATGGACAGGACACCAGTCCATCACTGGGCAGAGATGTCCACACTCACATCTTGGGCCAATTTTCCCAGAGGCCAATTAACTAACAGTATATTTTTGGACTGTGGGAGGAAACTCGAGCACCCAGAGAAAACTCATGCAAACACAGGTACTGTAGAACATACAGGACAAACTCCACACAGATAGCACCTCAAGTCTTGGACCCAAGACCCCAGCACTGCAAAGCAGCAATTCTGAACAGTGCGTCACGCACCACCCATATTAATGTAGTGTGCAGCCCTAAAAGAAAATCACATTTGCTTTTGGTATTGGCTTAGTAATTTGCCTAGAGTGTTTTGATCAATTAATTTAGGATATTAAAACTTGGCTGTATATTAGAAGCTGTAGCTGAGGCTGTATATTAGAAAATGTGTTGTTAGATCACTAGTTTATAAAGATGAGAAGGATTCTTTTACTGCTGAAGATGTTGGTGTTCTGAATGAAGCCAGAACAGCCTTGATTGAATTGAAGTGTACCTTCTACAGTTCATACTTAACAAAGTATGATGGCTGAATTTAGTAAAGATAAAATATTCCATTGTTTAGTGACACAAACTACCTCCAGTGTAATATGGATGTAAGTGGGTGCTCTGCCTTTTTTTAGCATATTTACTTATGGTGCAGTGGCAACAGTGCTGTGACCTCACTGTTCATAGTGCGCATAAGATGTAGTCTAAATGATTTCAGCCTGCCTTAGAAGTGCCTTTCTAAATGTCCAAATAATTGCCAGCTCTGGAGCAATTAAATTGTAATTTTTTGGGATTCCTGTCAAAAGTTAAATTATAATATTTC